TCGCCTTTGTCTCATGCATATTTCAGTAATGCTTTATTCCAGCCTGAGGCACTTTTGCTCTCATGCTGTCATATTGTCAGGCTGCTGGAGGTTTGCATGATTCTCCAGAAAAAGAATATTTTTGTTTTTTCAAATTTTGCATAATGCACTTTGTTTTACTTTGTAAGTCTATATTAAAGACACCTTTAAACCAGAATCGAGCTATTTACTTAATGCATGCTCCTTGTTTTCTGTGTTATGCTGGTGTTATTCTAGTGCATGTTATTCCCATGGAAATGTAAAAAAAAATCTTTATTAAAGCCATAAACCAAACCAACCAGCTACACTGTAAATCACAATGATACAATTTTGTATATTAAGCATAGAAATAATGTAAAATTGGATAAAAAGACAAAGATACAAGACTGCACTTAACAGCTTTAATCAAGGAACAAACTACCCAAGAAGCATTACGAATTAAATAATTGAATTCAAAAACATACATAGTTTGAGAGGATAGGGAAACTAACTCTATTATTTGGGGTGCTTCCTGGAAGTGGGCAGAATTCTTTTGGTGCGATTTGCTTGCCGTGAGTCTCTGATTGGTGGAGATTTATGTACAGAATCATGGATAATGTCGTTTTTCACCAATAATTCTACTGTTTAATGTGATTATTTAAAATAAGTTTTTGATGGCTATGGCTTCAACAAAAGCATACCATTAACAACCTCGTAGTTCACAGTAGGTGTGTCTTTACAAGTTATGATTAAAATCAAATTCCTCTATAGAGAAAATTAATGTGATTTTTACTTCCAGAACCCGACTAATGCACTCTATAACTCACTTTTGATCTGCCTCCATTCTGGTATGTAACATTCACTTTTCACAATCCAATCAATTTTAGGGTGAAATCAAATCTTACTCTACATTTTCTTGGAAATGCATCATATAAGTAAAGCTTAAACTTTCTAATTTCTAATAGCAATTCCTTCCTATATACAATCATTTTAGAAAGCCATCCGCTTCAAACGTCATCAAAGTCAGTATGTGGACGTGTTATAGGCCCTGATATTTTTAAGCACTGCCACTCAAAAACTGGCTCTGCCACCTCCTGCGGCGTGAAGGTCAATGTTTGCGCTAAGAGAATTAGTGTGTCTTTTATTTCCACTATCGGAACTCTTTTTATAGTCATTCCAAATTAAGAGGCTCAAGAAATCATTGTAGCCTCTCAAACCTCTCTCTTCAATTTTAGGGTGAAGTCAAATCTTACTCTACATTTTCTTGGAAATATACAATCATTTTAGAAAGCCATCCGCTTCAAACGTCATCAAAGTCAGTATGTGGACGTGTTATAGGCCCTGATATTTTTAAGCACTGCCACTCAAAAACTGGCTCTGCCACCTCCTGCGGCGTGAAGGTCAATGTTTGCGCTAAGAGAATTAGTGTGTCTTTTATTTCCACTATCGGAACTCTTTTTATAGTCATTCCAAATTAAGAGGCTCAAGAAATCATTGTAGCCTCTCAAACCTCTCTCTAAGATTAAAGATTTGACTGATCCTCCTGTTGCAACTCAACATTGTTTACTTGCAGCATCAGTATTGGCAGTATTTTGGAGGTTGGCTTGTCGTCCTCCACATACACACTTGCAAAAACAAGTATTTTGGAGGTTGGCTAGTCGTCCTCCACATACACACTTGCAAAAACATGAATCATTCTCCTATTGGCAAACAAGTCCCTGGGGGGGCAGACATAAAGTGTACCATTACTGAACTGAATAGATATTCTATGTTCTGCCCTCATATTGTATGTGTCAGGGGGATCTTTGTCACCAAGGGATACATTTATCCCTTTGTTGTGGACATTGAACAGTGTTTATGTACATAAAAAACCTGCGTGCCTCTGCTAAGTGTCTTAGAAAAAGGCCTTTTTTTGCAGAGGCGGCTCTTATACTACTGTGCTCTGCTGGATGGCTGGCTTGATGAGGCCATCTCCCCAATACAGTCACCATTGTAACCTGCACAGGTGGCAGGACCGGGGCAGACGAATTGTGTCAGTGCTGAGAGTGCCTGTGCTGAAGTGACAACCCCAAAGAATAAGCAGGACACCGCTGCTTTATCAGCCACCTGTGCTTTGAAAATGCGCAGGGTGTTGCAGTTCAGAGACAGACATGGAACCAGGGCTTATTAGGTTTTATGGAGAGCCATAATTGATATTCATGCTACGGCTCTCATAAGGGAATGTGTCTCTGCCCCTTAATCATATTTAGTATGTAATCAGCTTTTGAGTGGCAGCCAATGACAGACACTGTAGAAACAGAAAAATCCGTGGGTTGTGAGTGTTTTGCATTTTTTTTTTTTTATGCCATACAAATGTAAACACTTTATTTTCTGCTATGTATTAAACATGGCAAATTTTGCTGATTTAAAGCAACATTATACGAGTTGTAAGAACTTTTCATGTTTACTAAAAACATATTCCTGTGATTTTTCGGTTTTCAGTGTCACATGATCCTTCAGAAATCATTCTAATATATGCTGATTTGCTGCTTAAGAAACATTTTGTATTATCATCAGTGTTGAAAACAGTTGTGCTGCTCAATTTTTGTGGAAGTGGTGATACTATTCAAGATTCTTTCAAAAATTAAAAAAAGTTCAAAAGAACAGCTTTTAATTAAAAAATAAATCTTTTGTGACATTGCAAATAAATTTACTTGTAACATTTCACCTATTTAATGTATATGTATGGAATAAAAGTATAATGATGGTATAGACAAAAGCATTTCCCATTAATTACCAAAAGCATAGTTCACAGTAGGTCTGTCTTTAACAGTTAAGTTATTGTTAAAATAGTAGTAAAAAGTCAATGTAGAAAAATTCTTACTGACCCCAAACTTTTGAACTGTAGGCTACTTTATCTAGATTCAGATTTGATAGTATTATTGTTGAATGATAGTGTTAAAAGCATCAATAAGAGTCAGCAATGTTTTGCATCATATGCCATCATTTTCTTTGTAAAATAGTTTGTGAAAAAAGCTTTTATGGATTTATACTATCTGTGTAAACTTGCAATTTATATATTATTTATAAATAATATAATATATTTCATAATATGTTGCTAAAAATAAAACGTTGAAACTATTTTTTGTTGTATGAACTGTAAAGATGTTTGCATGGCACAGCTGGAGTAATCTTGCCCTATTTTTCATACATGGTAGCGTATGTAATCCCACCTATTCACTAATGAAGAATAAGTGGGATTATGCCACTAACCAGAGCTTTTTGTTGATGAGCTTTACCGAGGCTTCGTTATCTAGTGATATTGTTCGGTCTAGACATTTGACCTTGAGGCATCAGGAGAGTGCCATTAGAAACTCATCTGCTATGCCAAGTCTTTTTCCTGTCCATGAACGGCATCCATGGCTAGTTATTGGCTAAAGACTTGGACTGATTGCACATGCTCGATTGAAGACCAAAATAATCATCCAACTCGAGGCACATCTTTGTTGCAGATAATTGTTCTCTGAAAATTATTTTAATTACCCATTTTTCTCTTCTCCTATCACTAATTTTTCGTCATAGTAGATCATTGCATTGCTTTGATGTCAAAATGCCTACCCAAAATGTTTCCTGCAGTGAAGTGTAGGAATTATTTATTTATTTCCTGACAGATCACACACGGCCACATGCGCACATACAAAATGATTTCAATTACTTAAAGTTGCACTAGAGGCATGAAAAATCGTAATGGATTCAAACCTCGAAGGCACCGTTTGCTCTTGTCTGATTCATCTTTAAATCTGTCCATCCATCCAATTGTTCATCCATAAATCCTGCACTTTAGACCCAAAAGAGAGGATTTTTAGCCTGCCAAGTCTCAATAAACAAGATAAATGGCAAAGATTAAGTGACCAGACATGAAATTGCACAGTCACCATGGGGAAAAGAGTCACTTTTTCCTGTAATGATTACTTTTTTTCCTGTTGAACTGAGAGGCCGTCCCCTGTGGTTGACAGTGACATGTCAATCTTTTGTGAGTAGTTATATCATCACACAGCAGCCTAAGGGTTCACAGTAAACCCTTGAATAGAATCTCCTGTATGTTTTGCTGTTGCTGGTTTGTTTTTTAGTATGACCAGCATGTCTCTGAGCTGCATTATGTGATGTTGGACAGGTAACCCAGGGAGATTTTGAAAGATCACATTGGAAAATAATTCATGCTAGCCCTTATTCACCATATCCACATGGACAAAAACACATTAAATCAGAAGATAAAGGCTTATGATGAAAACACTGCAGCACTTTCTCATCTAGGTTTGTTCGGCAATGCTGTGAACAGGTGTTTTGTGTCATACATGGGTGTTTTGTGTATATATTTTTTGTTTGTGTTATAATATATTAATTAGCTTTTTATTTATTTTACTGTAGACAGGTCTGTGACTTCTCTGCACAACAAAATCTATTGTTTCAGTAATCATCTCTGAATTGCATGTTTCAAAAACAAAAATGAGTCTTTAATCCACTCTAATGTGCCTCCTCTCAGAGGTTCAGAGGTGAAACATGAGCCCAGTCAGTCACTTTCATTTTGTTAAATGGTCCATTTTCCCAGAAATAATTTTCCTCAAACCTTCCTAATATCAGCTCAGTGCATCTCAAAGCAGGGATCTCATAACAAGAAGATACTCCTTTGCATTTAGCCGAGGAGCTATTAGAACGCCAAATAAATGCACTGGGTCCCCATGGGAGCTGTAGATGTTCAGGCCTGTTGAATTTCACATGGTTTTCTACTGAATACAGCTTCAGTGTGAGTTCACTTTCCTTTGTCTTTAAGTTTTGCACAACACCTTAAGGAGAAAAGACAAGTTGCTATCAATTAGTTTTTTTTAAAATGTAATAAAAGAGGATGAGAATAAATGAGAAAACGCGTTTAAATAGTAATGTATAGTGCTGTTTTCATAAAAACTGATTTACGGTTACGCTCACATCTTATCTCCCTTCACAGTCTCTGATTTAATGAGACGTACATGGAAATTGTGTTAGTGGAGACTTCCCTCCGTTTCCACGTGCCAGAAGGCATTACCTATGTCAAGGAGGGAAATGAGACATTACTGTTACTCATTAATCTGAATTTGACACAGGAGGTAACAGCAACGAAATCTGTGTATTTCCAGGCTGATCTGTTTAATGAACATTCACTAGATATATGTGACCCTGGACCACAAAACCAGTCATAAGGGTCATTTGAAATTGAGATTTAAACACCATCTCAAAGCTGAATAAATAAGCTTTCCATTGATGTATGGTTTGTTAGGATAGGACAATATTTGGCCGAGATACAACTATTTGAAAATCTGGAATCTGAGGGTGCAAAAAAAATCTAAATATTGAGAAAATCGTCTTTAAAGTTGTCCAAATTAAGTTCTTAGCAATGCATATTACTAATCAAAAATGGAGTTTCTACATTTTTACGGTAGGAAATTTACTAAATGTCTTCATGTAACATGATCTTTACTTAATATCCTAATGATTTGTGGCATAAAAGAAAAATCGATAATTTTGACAATGTTTTTTTTGGCTATTGCTAAAAATATACCCCAGTGACTAAAGACTGGTTTTGTGATCCAGGGTCACATAAGACACACATTATTGTCACAATAGAGTAGAGACATTGAACTGGGAAAACTGTAGCAAATCTCTGAGGGTTGCAATTTCTTTCTTTCTTTCTTTCTTTCTTTCTTTCTTTTTCTTTCTTTCTCTCTCTCTCTCTCTCTCTCTCTCTCTCTCTCTCTTTTTCTTCCTCTCTTTCTTTTTCTTCCTCTCTTTCTTTCTTTCTTTCTTTTTCTTCCTCTCTCTCTCTCTTTCTTTCTTTCTTTCTTTCTTTTTTTTCTTTTTCTTCCTCTCTTTCTGTCTTTCTATCTTTCTCTCTTTCTCCTTGGCTTGTTAAAAGCAGCATCTGATGCTTCCATCATTTGGACTGGTTTTGTTGTTGTGGTGATTGCTGAGATGTCTTTGGCGAGCAGACAGCTGTTTGCCTAATGGCCCTTTCCCATGGTGAATGTTGATGCTGCCTTCAGATGCAGAGCTGCATTGTTTATTCATCAAAAATAATATTCGGAGAGTCTCTCTCACACGCACAGGTTATAGACTGCTTAATGCTTTCATTTAATTACATTAGCAATGCATCTATTTAAATAGTTGTTTTGATTTTTGGAGATCAAACATAGCACCTGGCTTTGCTCTGTATTTACATTGAAAGCGTGCTTGTGAACTCCACGTTATTATCCTGTAGGCCCTGGCAACGCTTTTCCTCCTGCTGCAGTCTGGATGCAAGTGTTGGCTATTGCATTATTCCATTATTCCATTTAACCGCTACAACAGCCATTATATGTATTCGTAGGTTCCTGCTGTACAAAAGTACTGCAGATTGTCAGGCAGTTTTAGATTTGAGTCTTTTTCAGAGCAAGTCACCTTAAAATCATTGTTCTCATCATGTTTAGAGCAGATGTCCTTGTCCCAAATGGCACATTTGATGTGCACTCGTAGTCTTGTGCATGTCTGTGAAGTCCACAAGATCATAAAGCAGGAATATTCAATAACTTTACCAGACAGGAGCCAAAACTGAATATTTTCGTGGACATGCCAGCCAGAATATTCTGTCAAAAAGCTGGTCTCTACCATTTTTTTTTACTATATTAAATATCAGTATTTATAGTTTTAATTTTTAATTTAAAAATATTTAGTTAAAATATAGTTAAATATGAATTTAAAATTAATCACTTTATTGATCCACAGAATAAATCTTTATTATTAAATACAATACATTTATCAAAAGTTTTTGTCTTATGGTCATCAAGGCCTCATTGATCAGAAATACAGTACTACCAGTAATATTGTGAAATATTTTTACAACATAAAATAATAAATAATTTCTATTTTACTATATTTTTTAAAATGTAATTTATTCCTGTGATGCAAAACTGAATTTTCAACAGCCATTACTCCAGTCTTCAGTGTCACATGATCCTTCAGAAATCATTTTAATATGCAGAATTGTTGCTCAAGAAACATTTTTTATCAATGTTTAAAACCATTATACTTTTTTTCAGGATTCTTTGATGAATAGAAATTTCAGAAATAGAATCATTTGTAACAGTCTTCACTGTCACCTTTAATTTAATGCATCCTTGCTGAATAAAAGTATTAATTTCTCTCTACTTTTGAATGGTAGTGTAGGTATATTTTTTATTATATTATATTTTTATGTCGTGTTTCTTCTAAAGCAAGGTGAATGTTGCCTTTATCATTCCACAAAGACCGGTGATTTTTGTATTATACATAAGATAACAAGTTCCCTTAGGAATGTTTTATATGAGCCAGAAAATTGCATTTGTTCACTCTGTTGTCATCATTTTTATGTTCTCTTTTCATGTATATCACTAACTCAGAAATCTTCTCATCCAGGTTCCCACGACTCCTTCAGTTTTTACATCGACGAAGCCTCACCAGTTGGGCCGGAGCAGCCTGAGACCGTGCAGAACTTTGTCTCTGTGTTTGGCACAGTGGCCAAGAAGCTGATGAGGAAGTGGTTGGCGACACAGACCATGAACTTCACCAGCCAGCTGGAGGCGGGCATCCGCTTCTTTGACCTCCGCATATCCACCAAACCCAGAGACCCCGACAACGAGCTCTACTTTGCACATGGCCTGTTCAGCGCCACCGTACGTGAAGGCCTGGAGCAGATCAGCGCCTTCCTGGCCTCCCATGCTCGCGAGGTTGTGTTCCTGGACTTCAACCACTTCTACGGCGTACAGAACCTCCATCACGAAAAGCTGGTCCAGATGCTGCGCACCATCTTCGGGGACCGACTCTGTCCGGTAGTGTTTGCTCAAGAGGTAAGCCTGAAGTACCTCTGGGAGAAAGAGTATCAGGTGCTGGTCTTCTATCACAATCCCATGGCTCTGGAGGTTCCTTTCCTGTGGCCTGGTCAGATGATGCCTGCTCCTTGGGCCAATACCACAGATCCCGAGAAGCTCATTCAGTTCCTTCAAGCCTCAGTAAAGGATCGGAGACGTAAGGGCACCTTTTTTGTGTCCCAAGTGGTTCTCACTCCCAAAGCAAGCACCGTCATGAAGGGTGTCACCAGCGGTCTGAGGGAGACCATCACAGAGAGGTAGGCTATTGTACAAAATCCGTTCTGTGAAATAAAGAACATGCTGACTCATTAGATCTCACTCTCTGTTATCTTCAAATCAGCGCCAGGCAGATTTTTTTTACAGTCCCAATTTAATCTCATTACAGTTATTAGCCGTTGCTCAGTCTCTTGGGCTTCACTGATCAGGGTTTGTCAGGCTTGGTTTGAAACATGAAACTCTTGGCAGAAAGCAGATTTCGAAATGGCTCTGGACGACAGAACAACATATTCGGTGCATTAATTCTAGAGTGCACCAATATTCTGCTCATTCAAATGACTGAGAGGGGGTCTTTCCGCTTCCCGCGTGGAATACATTGGCATCTGCGGCTTTCAAAGGATGATCTTCTGTTATTTTTTCTCGCCTGTCAGCAGGCATGATATATAGTGTGCCACTGGGCATGCAGCTAAGCACAGCCATAACAACTAGGCACTGGAATTGTAGAGAAATTGAATAATTAGATTCCTCTCAGTGATTCTGGTTTCTTAAAAGAATGATTCTTTTAGTATTTCTGAAGAAGAAATATTTGGAAAATACATATTTTTTTCTAGCTGATTAGATAATATTTGTAAAACAATTCCTGCAAAAGATGTTTTTACCCAGACGTTTAAGTGACTCTTCATAGTCTTATCATAGATGCAGTACATAAAGTTGGTGTTAAATATGCAATACTAAATACTGGGTAAAAAAGCTTTAGAATTTTAATGCACTTATTTATTTTATAAAATACTAACCACATACAAAACTCATAATGCTTATGTTTAACTACACATAGTCATATGAACAACCAGTCAGTGAAGTCTCACGATACCTAAATACAATTACAGTTTACAATACAGATTCATTAAAAAGAACCAGCTCATTTGTTCGGGGATCATTTTGACTACATTAGTCATGCTGTATGGATTTGATTAATTAAAAGAACCAGCTAAAAATTGTTAATTCACTAATTAGACTACACTTGTCACATGTTTTTCACTATATTACACTACTGTTCAGCAGTTTGGGATCAGTACGCTCTCTTAATGTTTTTGAAAGAAGTTTCTTATGCTCACCAAAGCTGCATTTATTATTGTGAAAAATACAGAAAAAAACTGTAACATTCTGATGTATTTCCTAGTGAAAAATAAATGATACTAAAATGTATTTGAAATCCTTTAATTTCATGCTAAGTATACTAAAAACACATTTACATATGTATGTACTTAATAAAATACCCTGCAGTTGTACTTTTGGTATACTAAACTGGTATACTTAAAGTCTGCTAAATTGGAACAACTAATTTTGTACTTAATGCACTTTAATTGTGCGAAAGTAGTGCTGAAGTACAGCTAAAGATATACTGAAGTATATTTGCTAAAGTGGAACTATTGTAAGTATACTTCAGGTACACTTTAAATATCTTGCAATTATTCAAAGATCATACAATCCTCATCATTAGTGACATTAAAACACATTTTAGGCTTAATATTAAGAAATGTGCATTGTGCACAAGTAGTATTCCAAATAAAGTTTAATTATAATTTTATGTCAGTAAGTCTCGAGCAATATTTTAATAGATTTGAAATATACTTAGTATGAAATAAATGTATTTTAAATATATTAATTTTTACTAGGGTTATTACAGTTTAAAATCATTGTTTTGTATTTGAATGAAATGTAATTTATTCCAGTGATGACAAAGCTGAATTTTTAGCAGCCGTTGCTCCAGTCTTCAGTGTCACATGATCTTTCAGAAATCATTCTCATATGCTGATTTGCTGCTCAAGAAACATTTCTTATTATTATCAGTGTTGAATTATCAGTGCTGTTTAACATGATACATTCTTTTCAGGATTCTTTTCAGAAAATTCAAAAGAACAGCACTAAAAAAAAATCTTTTATAACATTATACATGAATTTATAATGATTAATTATGAAAAAATATTTTTTTTCATTTTGTGTTTTTGCTGAATTACAAGTATTAACTTCTGACCCCAAACTATTGAAGAGTAGTATAGATTCAGTAGCGGTGTTGTTGGTACCGATGCATAGTCGGCAGAATTTGTGTGATTCTGTTAACAGAACTGTGTATCATTTTGTCAAGGTATTTAAAAGAGTGGAACCATATCTGAACTGTAATCACACCTTATGATACCACCTTCATGCTATCCACACACGTAGCTGATTCCCCCTGGGTATTTGGTGAGGAGCAGCACATTATTTCTGCTTAGTGTAACTGGAACATTAGCTAAAGGGCAGAGCTGACACCAGCGTTAGTCACCCTGCTTACAGGAAGACTCATTCAGAAGTCTCATCTCAGCATGTAGCAACATCTCAAGCATCAAATCTCTACTTTCTAAGGAAAATGCACACTTTGGTCATACGTTTAAGTTCATTTTTTCCAGGCCAAAGCCAATGTGATAGTTTGGTCGAATGTGTCATTATTTTTTGCATCGACTGTGCTGATGGCAAATTAATTATAGATGAGGAGAGAGGTGGGGCACAGAGAGTAAAATGATACGGCCTCTGCCAGCACACTGCAATCTGACAAGCATGGCGTCTTATTAGCTGATAAAGCCGCCTAGCCCTTGCATCATCTGGGAGTGAGCAGCAGAGCATGAGATAACTCCTGAGTCATAGTCCTCACAGAAATGAGTCTGTGTCTGCCGATGTGACCCCACTTCAGGTGCATCACCCCCTGCAGACCATTTATAGACAGACCCAGCAAACAATGCATATTAGATTTGTTCCAAAATCTAGTGAGCTGCCTGCCTAGACAGTATCCTAATCACATAATTTAATCATGCTTCCTACTAAGACTAGGAAACCCTGCTTCTGCCATATAAGAAAAAAAATATTGCTTTGGTAAATAATTGACATAAAAATCATAATTGTGACATAAAAGCAATTATGAGATAAAAACATGAAATTAGGACAAAAAAAATGTAATTAAAAAATTATAATTATGACTTTGTCAAAAATGTTTAATTTCATGGTTTTGACTTGTCGCAGTTTAAACTTTGATCTCTAATTATGGAGATAATTTGAACTTTTTATCTCATAATTATGACAGACTTAGTATCTCTTTGAATTTTCTGTGTTATAATTAGGACTTGTATGTTATAGTTATGACTGTAAAAAAATGATTTCTTTCTATTTCAAATTCAAAGCATGATTTATTCTGTGACAACGTCGAAGTTATGACAAAACAGTTATGACATTAAAATATAAACTTATAACAAAAAGTTGAAACTATGAGATAAAAAGTCATAATTATGACAAATGAGTTATAATTATAGAATAGCTAAAATTATGATGAAAGATTGACTTTGTCATAATTTACTTTTTGTGTAAAGATTGATGTTTAATTTCATGATTTCGACTTTTATCCCATAAATCCCATCATCTTATTTTGACTTAGTATCTCATAATTTTGACTTTGTAAGTCATTATTATTATTTAGCAAAAGCATGATATTTTTTTTCTTCTGTGGCAAAAAATGTGCTTCCATATAAGATAACTCATTTTGACCACATTTTAAGACAACATTGCATGTATCCTTGAAATATGAGATGGCAGACGATGCGAGAGAAATGTTGATTATAAACACACTCATAATTCATTCGATTCTAAAAAGTATTAGTGAGAATAATTTAATAATTGAAGAATCATTTGACATTAAAATAATTAAAACGTTAGTTTCTGTAAATAACTAATAAAAGAAATTTAATCTAATTTTATACTATTTCATCAAAATGTATATATCTTTGCTTATTAAAGTATTACATCATGATGCAAGATAAAAAACAAATCACTTGTGATTTGAGACTGTTGTGTACTTTGCATGAGGAGCACTATTTATATGGCGTATAGTGTTGCAGCTTACATTCCAAGTTGGTCTCTTATAAGTTACATTTCAGTCAGGATGCCGCCTTTAAAGGCAGCTCACTATGTTTTAAACTGAGCTATTTTGTGTTCTGTTTGGGAACAAATCCCCTTAGATTGAAACGGCCTGTATATATATATATATGTTTTCTCAGGGCTCTTCCTGGCATGATGCAGTGGATCCGCTCACAGCGACCTGGGGAAAGTGGAGTAAACATCATCACGGTCGATTTTGTGGAGCTGGGGGAATTTGTCAGCGCCGTTATCACCCTCAACTACTACCTGGATGATGAGGAAGAGAACGCCACCTGAACCTCCACATTTCCCACATCGCTTGTGGTATCAATTACTTGCTCCCTCTCTCTTTGCCATATTTTTGTTTTATTGATTTTTATTTATTTTTTGGATCATAGAGGCTGTGTTCGTCTGACATTTTCAGGGCTAATGGAAACCGTGAGAATGATAGTAGACACCAGACACGGTCAGGTGGAATAATTTCAGGTTTTGTCTGAGGATGAACAGGGGCAGATGGTGATTTCATTTCTTTCTGGGCAAAAAAGGTGACTGGCCTTTTCCCATGTTTCTCTGCTTTCAATCTGTTGGACTACTAGTTACTGATCCACATGCTCGAAACCTTGATAAGTTCTGCCCAGATTCTGCTTCTGATCAAAGTAACAGTAACTTTAACTCATTTCATGGGAATAAATATCGTTTGTACAGTGAATGTGATGCTGAATCTATAGTAGGTTTATTTCTAGTGGTCATAGTAACTTGTATGATTGTCGAGTTGTAAATACTTGTAAACCTGTTGAATTGTAACTTTGCTCACTATTTGTCATGCCCGAACATACGTCAAGAGTTGAGGTTCCCTTTGGGGCCTCGGCCTGGTCTTACAATGTTGAAGAAGTGAACTATTAGATGTTTGTATTCGCAACCAAAAATTGCAATTGTATGTAACAGCATTTTTGCCTTTCTGCCATTATCAACACTAATAAGTGAGGCTTTGTATCTACATTTTTGTAGTCATCCTTTACTTTATCCAACAGATTCTTTTATATATCCGTGAACAACATAAATATTCTTTGCATTTGCACTGCTGTGACTGGACTGTTAAAGAGTGGCCACTGAAGTTGCAGAACCACCCCCCCCATACAATCCATCACTTAATAATGCACAATTTGCATTCAATCATAAACATGCATACATAAACAAACAAACACTCAAGAGACTCACTTAATGGGTGTGAACAGACTTATTATGACACCATTTTCTAATTAGCCAGACTAATTGGGTAAAGGGCCATGCTAATGTTTTAATCACACAGATACCAAGTAATTGCATTTGTTCAATATATGACATTATGAAACAATTTCCCTCACTGCTGCCTTCTCTCTTTTACAGTCAGGTGACGCTGGAAAACTAACTAGAAAGTTTGCAGCATTGTTTGTTTATTGAAGTGTTTAAATCATTTTTATTAATGTGACAATCCCATGGCCAACCTGGAGCATGTACTTGCATTAATCATGCCTTTGTACAGTATAAAATCGCACGTAGTTGTCTAGGTCAATAAATTGTATGTAAACTTTCTATGGGTATATGTCCTTATCGAACATTTCTGACAAATCTGGTGTACAATAAATGTAAATACTGCATATATACCACATAGTGTGTGTTTTTCCCCCCTTTTCATTCAAAAATACATTAAAATGCAATTTATATATTCAGTTACTTGAATACAGCTTTTCTATGACAATCAGAAAAATGCATAAAATGGGAAGTCTCTCAAATTCAGTTAATTCGATTTTTTTTATGACAAGGCAAGGTTAGTTCAGGTTATAAAATGTCATGTGGTGTGACTCCTCAACAACTGCATCATATTTCTGAATTAAAAATTCATAATATTGATAAAAAAATAATGTTGAAAAAATATATATTTATATGATCTCATTCGTACGTTTCTTTATGATCTGCTTACGCACAACTAAAGGCCTGTTCACAAGAAAGGACAATAATTATAACATTACTGATAACTATAAAGCAGCCAATCAGAATCCACCTCACTTTAAAGAGCTCGAGCATTTAAAGCGGCAGAGGACAAAATTGCCGCACATGCTTAGAATAAACAGAACATTATCCTCCATTGGTTTCAACATTAATATTGTTATCCTTATAGTTCTCATTCTTGGTGTGAACCGGCCTTAAATCGATAGTTCACCCAAAAATGAAAATTCTGTCATCATTTACTCACCCTCAACTTGTTCTAAACTTGTATGAGTTTCTGTGTTGAGCACAAAAGAAGATAGTTTGAAGAGTGTTGGTAGCCAAATAGTTGGACTTCCAGAATATGGAAAAATATCAACTGTTTGACAACATTCTTCAAAATATCTTCTTTTGTGTTCAGCAGAAGAAAGAATCATACACGTTTGGAACAACTTGAGAGTGAGAAAATGACTACATTTTAAATTTTGGGTGAACTATTCCTTTACGGGTTAGGTTTAGAGGTGGAGCCCAGTTTTTTTTCTTTTCTAAAAGTCTTACTTTTTAACTCAAATCATACAAACACCACCAATCTTCCATACAAATGGATGTACAATCATAACTGATAATGTTACTTAAATACAGTTAAATTGTGCTGAAATTCTTGCTCCAGGTCTTCTATGATATCCTCCACCAAATGAGCCATGACTGTTGAAATCTATTGAAATGCAGATGAGAAGCTAATTTTAATAAGTAACAATAGAAAAAGTAACATTTGCAGTGATGTGCAGTTTGCCAATTCTCTCTCTGTCTGTGATGCCGAGAGCAGAGTCCGTGGCCTCATTACATGCTTTCTCAATTACAGCTATTGATTGCTGGCAAAGGTCCGCTCAGCTTGTTTTGACAATGGCACTATGCAGCTGTGAAAAACCTCTCTTTCACGTATTCGGAGCACTATGTGCTCTCTTTGCTGATTGTGAGCTTATTAGTAGAAGCTGTTAGTCTGCTGATTGTATTTTTCAAACTGCAATGAAGAAGTGTTGCTGTAACTGTGATTCTCTAAATTAGTGCACAGCAGATTAACAATCTCTGCTGTTCAACGGTTTCATGGTATGTAACTGACCTTTTGAAAAGCACACGGAGACGTTTGTAGATGTTGTACAGTATATACTGTGTGAGTGACTTTAGCCAGATTGCTAACTTCTGCCAGTAGCTATACTTAAACTTCAACTACGCAAGCTTTATCCAAAACCATCCTCTAAAGATATGTCAGCCAAACAAAATATTCAAAATGACTCACATGCAGGCAAAAAAACTTTATGATTGGCTAGTTTTCTAAGGGAGGCTCCCCTGATTGTTTTTATTGTTTATAGAGCCTATACTTAGCCTTAGCCTTTAGCTGTGACACAAAGATGTTTGATTTGACAGGACACAGTGATATCTGTCAGGTTATGGGGACATTTTATTGTATGTATTCTAAAGATAATTAGAATTTAGCTGCATTAATTTAGCTAAAAATAATTAGTTAGTTGCTAATATTTTAGAATGTTTATGTTGTAATAATGTTGAAAGGAATTCTGTGTACCATTACATTTGTTAAGAAGATGAAAATGGTCATTTCTTTTCTGTGGACAGGAGCCTTCTTTATCGTTACCAGGATATGACATCACACTCAGAGGCAATAATACTGTACACTTGATTTGTGACTGTAAATTAACATTTGATGAGCAGGTTAGCTGTAATATTTTTGTATGTCAATAGTGACAAACCTCAGCTGACCTAGAAATTAATTTTCTAGATTTTTCCCCCATCTGGGTAATTGTTATTTCCCATTATAAAATATAGAACTTAATAAATTACATCAAAATATTAGCCTCAAGCCAGCGATTTGTAAATCACACTAAACCAGTGAACCCTATATGCCACTTTTTAGTGGGGAAAAAAATCTAATCTAATCAAAAAAATTCTAATAATAATAACAGCAACAATTGTTATTATTATTATTATAACTTTATATTATAATAATTTATATTTTTGAATCTATGATAACTAGATTACTACTAATAATAATAGTTTTTCATTGACGTTGTTGACATTAGTAAATTCCTATATCTTGGGAACTTAATAGAGTTTATTATTATTATTATTATTATTATACTAAGTTATTATAGAAAATGTTTCCGATTCAGTGCAGCTGTGGTTTTCTAATGGATTGGGGTGGAAGCTTGAGTTCCGACAGTAATTCAGCTATACTTAATCAGCAATAATTCCTGATTCCCAGTTCTAGATGTCATGTATGTAATTCTAGAGAAATGTTTCTCTTGGGCATAAATAAAAACCTGTTGTGGGAGGCAATTATGATATAATCATTAGTCAGTTTCCATTTCTGATTAAGAGTGGACATTGTCTGACTGGCTCTTTCTCCTGCCAACTCAATCTCTTCGTGTTTGACAGTTTGACAGCCTGCAGCGATATTAAAAACGCTATTCAGATTGCCAAATAAGGTTGGGCATAAACCTCACATTCACAGTCCACAGTGTAATTACAAGCAGCATGGCACCATTTTGAAAGCAGCACTGGCGTAAGATAAGAGTTTCCCTAATGCCAGCATGCTTTCAGACAGGCAGCTGAACAATATTAGCCAATTAGAACATCCTAGTTTGAAAGCATCCATTCACAACTCATATTGAGTCAAATAACACAAAAGTAACTGTATAAATAACTTTTTTTCACATTTTAGTGATGTTAACAATTTAAATAAATACAGAATATTGCTGTATTTATCACAATTTAAAGCAGATTACTTGAATTTGCTAGTGTTGTATAATCTACTGTTTCTTCAAACTGTCAGACATTGCAAATCTTGACTTTGAGATTTACTCTATATACAAGCTGGATTCTTCAGTTTTATGTCACCAGAACCACAAACAGAAATTGTATTTATTTATTTATTTTAAATGTAATTTATTGCTGTGATGGCAAAGCTGATTTTTTTTCAGCCATTACTCCAGTCTTCAGTGTCACATGATCAATGTTATTATTATCAATGTTTGAAAACAGTTTAATATTTTTTGGAACTTTTTTCAGGATTCTTTTAAAGTTCAAAAGAACAGCAATTTTGTTTGAAATAGAAATCTTTTGTAACATTATAATCGTCTTTACATCACTTTTGATCAACTGAATACATCCTTGCTACATAAAAAAAAAACTTACGTCAAACTTTTGAATGAATTTTGAGTGTACGCATTCTATATGTACTACATATAGCAAACTAATTGGGTTTCACAAGTCTTGGACCCCAATAATAGTTTTATTTTTGGAAAAATTTTCTAGGTTTCTACAGTTATGGGACTCTTTGTACAGACGGTCAGATGTTTTTTTCCATTGATGCTCAAAATGTTCTATGGATCATGTCAAATAATTCTGGTGAACATGATTTTCAGGTTTTAAACAAACTTATGGAGTTCATGCAGTTTGAGTGCTGCTGCCAAATAAAATAAGAGATACACATTCTGTTAGTTTTTAAATTAAACTTTCAATTCAAATTATATTCAATTTAAAAAATGAAGAACAAGCATTTTCACTACTGGTCTCAGACTTTGGACCCCACTGAACAACATGCATGGGCTTTTAATGAGTCTAATGTGTGATTTGAAGAATGGTGTAGCTGGTGCCAGAAAAAGGCCTAATTAGATCAGAAATATTCCTTTTTTCAGCTCCTGATCTCCTAAGTTTCCATTCATTCATCAAGATTCAAATTATTTTAAATATCCAAGTGCTAATGAAGAAACATACCAGAGCTCCCAGGTCCAGCTGTAGATTTTTTGCCCTGTGCATTTCAGTGTTAAGAGATATTGTATGTATATATTTCTGTTTGTGTGAACGCATGCAGGAAAGAACTCCGTAACCGTACGACACTGACATGATTTTATGATGCATTTACTGCCCGCTGAACAATAACATTGTAACAGCTAATAACAGCTTGCTGATGAGGGGCTCACTGAGAAACTCAATTACCTTTTAATTATGCGAAGGAGATCCTCAGAGGAACTATGGATCCTGAGGTCTAAGGAGCGGAAAAGCATGCCAATTAACCCCTGACCCAGAGACAATACAAGGCATTATTATTCAAAAAGGCATGTATATGATGGGAATGTGCTGTCGTTCTCTTAGGAGATACATCAGGAGATTTGACTTTTAAATACAGTGACCTTTCCAGTAAACAAGACGTCTGAAATCTAAAAGAGGCTATATATTAAATTCTCCACATTTGCAGCTTCTTAAAGGGATAGTTCACCCAAAAAACTAACTTTTCTGGAAATGTACTTACCCTCAGGCAATTCGAGATGTAGGTGAGTTTGTTTTTCTCCAAATCGGAACAGTTACTCATTAATGGATCCTCTGCAGTGAATGGGTGCCGTCAGAATGAGAGTCTAAACAGCTGATTAAACCATTCAAATAATTCACAAGTAATCCACACAACTCCAGTCCATCATTTAACTTTTTGTGAAGCGAAATCTGTGTGGTTGTAAGAAACAAATCCATTAAGGAATCTTTAACTTCAAAGCGAACTCTCTGAATCAGGAGAGAAATATGCATAGATTAGCACTATTTTAAAGCAAAAACAGTTCCAAACAAATGTCAGTGGATTTTGATATAAAAGGACCACA